CTAGACCTACATATTCCAAACAACAAGCCTGTTCCAGCAACAAATTCTGAAGGTTCAGCATCCCTCTAAACCGTAATTTCTGAACAGTCAAAGCGACAGTGTGTGACAGTCTGCACTGTTTCCTCAAAACGAAGCGCTCTAAGTATACCACAGTGTGGATGCAGCAAGAGCACAGCAGGGCTAGTACTGTGGCAAGCACCTTGGTAAACACCTGAGGTGCGGTGGAGAGGTTGAAAGACAGGGACACGATCTGGTATTTTAGGGAACCCACAGAAAGCACAGGAAACACTGATGCACAGGAAAGATAGTTGGTTCACATCCTTAATGTCCTCAATCTAGAAAGTCTCCCCGGTGAAAGGAGGCAATAGCAGATGTGGTGGATTCCATACAGAATTTCTGCGCTTGAATGAAGACATTCAGTGCTTTGACATCCAAGATGGGGCAAATGCCTATTTGGAGTTTGCAAACTGTGAACAGGTTGGAGTAAAACCCCTGATAACATTTTTGCCGTAGGAACTGGGGCAATGACACCCTGATCCAGGCAACCCAAGAGGGCTTGATGGAGATTTGATAATCTGTGCAGTGCCACAGCAAAGTTGGAGGTGAGAGGAGGGTGCTAAACTCCAGCTTTTAGCCCTGGGAAACCACCTCTCACACTCAAGTGTCTTAGATGCAAGCTGTAAATGTCTGCTAATGTTAACAAATTCCACCACTTTGGAAAGTGGGGATGCACCTTTATGCAGAGGAAGGATTATTGGGAGGATTTGTCAGACCTTGCGGGTGAACTGGGATCCATGTTTGGGGGATCTGGATGGTGCCAGAGTGGAGAAACAAAAAGGACTTCTCTTAATAGGAAGGGAGCTCAAGTAATCTTGTGCAGCAGGACTTCCCCCTCTGTGTTTAGATACAGATATTGCAACCATGTGAAAGTGATGCAATTAACCTCAGGATATGAGGCAAGGCCTCATGTACTCCCAAAACTTAAACAGCTGGTGGGCTCTGAAGTTTGGATGGCTGGAAATGACCAATAGATGGGCAGTAGGAATAGATTGGGTGTCAGATCCACAAGGCTCTTTGCAAAACAGGAGCAGCAGCAAGGAAATGTTTTCCCCGCACTGCCTGGTAGAAAAGAGATCATGGGGCATACAGGTGAAAAACTCCACCCAGGAAATTCAAAGGGCCCCATTATTGCAAATAAGGAGGTAAGCTCTCTGTGTTCAGCCTGATTGGCTTACTCAAAGTGTAAGTCTTCTGAGCATGGACAAGTGCAGATGCAATGCCAATGACTCTGGACCTGAAAAGCACTCAGATCTAGACGGGTTCTGGCAAGTGCCTAATGCAGAACCCCACTGCTGGAAGGCCACATCAAGGTTAGCCCCCACGTCCAGTACATTAGGGTCTAGGAACAGCACTTCAGAGCTAGGCTGAGGAAAGGATGATCTAAATAAACTACCATTGTAAAAGACCAACTCACACAGGAACATAGCAAGTAATCTTTCAAGAAACAAATTTAAGAGGGGGAAAAAAAAAACCCCATAGTAAAATGGTTAAACTTTTCCATCAGAGCTAAAGAAATGGCACCTTGGTACACTAGCAAAAAAAAATCTGAGGCATGCAAGGACGGGTTAACCTGGGCTGGCCCACATTTCTTTCACTTTGACTGTATCCAATCCTCCTGTAGGTGGCAGTATAACCAGACAGCGTTTTGCTTGTGTCCCTCAATAGAGAAGAACTTAAAATTTCTTCACATTGCTTGGATCATAAATTAAAATTCTTTAGTGTGTATGATCTGGGCACAAGGTCACTTGAAGATCATTGGGAGTCAGTGGAATTTAGCTGCATCTATCTCCTGCATCACTCAAACATCTTGACTAATACATAAGGCACACAATTCGTTTGTAATTTAGAGCTGCTCAGCTATGCTGAAGAATAGTATGCACATACACAGCTCCTATGTTGAAATAAAATACACCCTGAGGAAAAACACACAATAAAAACTTCCCCCCAGCCCAGAGAATACATTTTCAGAGTTTGCACTAGGTTTTGATGTAAACAGGGATTAGAAAAATGTTTCTGCAATGGCTAAGACCAAAAAAAAAAAAAAAACAAACACGCCAAACCAAATAATTGTATTTTTTATTGCCATTTTCACAGAAGCAAAAAGTTACATAAAGCAATGTGGGGAAAAAAAGCAAAAACACAAAAAAAACAAATGAATGGCTTTTGCAGGCGTTGGAGACGTTGTGTTTGTGGATCCAATAACTGTTAACTTCTAAAGTGGAGGTTTTATTTATATAGTCTACAAAACAACTGCAATGTGCAGTAAAGCAAGTTCACTCCACACACCGCAGCTCAATCAATACAGTAAATACATCTGCAAAATGTGACAAGACACCTTTAGAAGAGCTGAACTCCCAGAGACAGCAGTCTAGGTTGGACCTGTTTATTGCAGATCAAAATGTGTCCTTAGGAGTTTAGAAAAATGTGAGGTAAGAGAATATATAAAAGAGAAACATGGAGAGTAAAAGGTGCTGTTCTAGGGATCACACAGTAGTTGAAAGCACCCCATTTCAGAATTCATGCTAAACGTATGGGGCTGATTTCCGAACACTGGAGGAAAAACAAAAAACTGATGCTGTCCCTAGCAACCCAATGTCAAGTTTTAAAAATTCCATAATTGGCACTGAAAAAACAAGGAAGCAGATTTTTTGCTAGCAGCATCGTCCCCTTTCCTGTAGTCACAGGAGTGTTAACACTTGAACTATTGATGCCCTTTATGAAAAGAAAACCAAACTGGGGATAGGGTTCCCCCTCAAAACCTGATCTGTCAAGGTATAATATAGAAATGCAAAAATAAACTCCACAGAAACAGTTTTGTATGGGGTAACATTTCCCTCCACACAAGCATCCAATATGCATTAAAATCTGCTTGAGTTAGTGTGAACCAGTTATTTGTAACTCATCAACATTTTAGGTTTTGGATAGACACAGAAAAGGTAAATACTTCTGTTTGTGGGGAGATTGTAGGAAATGAGGGAGAACAGTTTTCAATGTGACATATAGGCAAACGGTCATTAGAGGTTTGAAACTTTTTTTTTTGGTAAAATTAAAGTGTTTTGTAGCACTATTTGTCCCCACTGGAGAAATTTCCCATCACTTCCTGTCCTGAAAGTGAGGGGAAGCTCCCCAACAGGGTCACAGCCTTCAGATAAACCCCGACAGTGGTTGTCCCCTTCTGCTCTGTCCAAAGCTACAAAAAGAATGGGTGCGGTTGGGCTTTAAAGCTGAACTTTGGGCACAAAAACTTCACCTAAACATATTCTTCATAGACAGTTATATATCCACTTTTTTTTTCCTCAGGTGTCTTTCAAAACCAAGATATTACCTTGCTAGCCTGTGCAGACAGCAGAACCGTGAGAGGAACCCAGCTACTCCATCCAATACAAGCGGAGTCTGAATAAAACTATGGGAAGGTTGATGGGGATGGATACGAGACCAGTAACGGTCCACAAGGAGTGAGCTGCAGTGATTGGTCTCATTACAGGACACTCCTGTACAGATGTAGGGTACAGGAATTGTTCCATTCTCTATAACTGCACAGATATAGAAAACATAAAGAAATGACACCAAGATTTAAGACTGCACATGGTATTGAGGCAATATTTGTTTAGGCTAGACTCCTGCTTAAAAGTGACACTAAGCTCATAAGTTAAAATGTAAAAAATTTATTCAAGTACCTTATCTATTAACAAAAATGTATCTTATTTGTGTATCACTCAGCGGTAGATCCTCAAACCATCTCTGAATTGGTGGTGACACTGTCCCTTCTGGAGGGGGGCTACTTTTGTTCCCCATGTGTGTTGTAAAGTAGCCATCATTCTAAGCTCACTCCTGTGACGAGCTTAGAATGATGGCTACTTTACAACACACACAGGGACCATGGGGAACAAAAGTAGCCCCCCTCCAGAAGGGACAGTGTCACCACCAATTCAGAGATGGTTTGAGGCTCTACAGCCGAGTGATAAACAAAGATACATTTCTGTTAATAGTCAGTGTAATTGAATGTATTTTTACGATTTAACGCCTGAGTTTAGTATCACTTTAAGCCAGGTATGTGTCAGTATTTAAGTCCACGGACAAAAGATCATTACACAGCAACTAAACAAATGAATAGGGCATTTTCCCAAGCACATCCTAAAATTTTATCAGGTAAAAAAGGCATGTTGGCCAGTCATCAATCCCGGATTATCTTTGGCATTTCAAATAATCACATAAATTTTAATATTCACAGTGCATACTTGTAAATATATATTTATTTTGAAATGTTCAGGCAATACTGAAACTTCTAGTTTCAAACAGGTGGACAAAACTTAGCTATACATGTAATATTGCAAATTGCCCTCAAGAATTAACCAGGGCCATCCATCACAAAAACGTGGTATGTTCTTTTAATCAGACCAAAAAAAGAAAAACAAAAAGTTGGCATCATTAATATTTTGTTTAAATTTGGCATTTGCTATTCATACTTGATTAAAGATTCTCGATTGTTTTTTAACACTGCGTTTAAATTCGCAAATTAACAAGTATTCAAAGTTAATACAGTAAATTCACTCTAAAAATACTGAATGTTAATAGCCAGGTTTAGTTAAAGCAAAAATAATAAAAAAACAATCCTAATGAATATTTTCTGATATAGGCATAATATATATGCATACTTTATTCAAAAAAAGCTGATTTTATTTTGTCGTTTAAATTGATTTATTCAACAAAAGGAGATCTTAATTTTAAATGAGAAAAGTGTGTCATACGAGTTTAATAGAAAAAAAAAAGGGAGAGGAGCTACTCCCCCAATAAGGTGACAAGTTACCAGTAACTGTCAGTAGAAAAAAGTTATTGCTGCAATTCCCAGACCAGGCCTTTTCTAGTGCAGCTTAAATCGATCATATCAAAGCTGCCAGAATCCGAGTAACAAGAATGGGATAGTTCCATTCCACAATCATTTTCATCTCAAGGGAACCTACAGCAGATTCCTTTCTATTCCTTCACAAACCATTCACACGCACTCACTCGCACACAAGCAACCCTTCGTCTGCTGCATAGAAGATTGTCTCTCTTAAGTGCTGCATCACCCACAGCACAAAGTAAACATGCCATGTGGTCAATGATATTATGCAAACCCAGGGAAATGGGGATTCATGAATACTCATCAGGAGCAGACCTTTGTGAAACAAGAGGGGGTGCTCCTTGAAGCAAGGAAAGATGAAATGCCTGACACCCAGAAAATCAGCACCTTATAAGAAAATGAAGTGGAAGCGAAAGGCGTATGTAATCCCACTCTCTACCTTCAATGCTCCATTCCCTTCGGTATCCAGCTATTAACCACCTGAGCTGCCCGTATGAGCTGCTCATAACCTCATAAGTGAAATGTTTAAACACAGTGCAGAACTCTAACAGAAGAGCTTGACGAAGCAGTTCTGGCAGTATGGCTTGTCATTCTGCTCCTTGAAGGTTCCTTTGTTAAGCTGCTTAAGGCAGAAGGCACAGACAAAGTGCTCTGGATGGAACTTCTTCCCCATAGCGGTGATACAACGGCCAGTGATGGGCTTTTGGCAGCCAGAACACAGCGATCCACGGCGCTCATGATAATGAACCTCACAGTATGGCTGCCCGTCGTGTTCAAAGAAGCTCCCATTAACAAATGGAGTAAAGCATTCCTGGGGAAAAAACAACATAATCTATTTAACTAGATAGTGGCAGAAAAGGAAACCATAAACATAATATATAATATCTACCCACATATATACAGTAAACTCCCCATTATCAGGCATTCAAGCAACCAGCAAAAAAAAAAAAAAAAAAGGAAGAAAACTCGATTTAGTTGCCAACTAAATTCTTTGTTTAGATTTTGCTGCCGGTCAGCTAGATTTTGCAGTCGGCAGCAGAATGTAAACAATGAGGAGCAATAGTCGGACAGCTATTGGCCATTTCAAATTGCAATAGCCAATACCAGGCTGGCTATTGTTCCCGCGCACTGAGCAAAGGAGCGGACTGGAGAGAGAACTTTCTCAGGTCCGCTCATGTGCCCAGTGGGCAGATTTCAATAGCCAGTCTGCCAATGGCTATTGCAATTTGAAACAGCCAATAGCATGCTGGCTCCTGTGCCCACCGAGCACAGGAGCAGACCTGAGAGAGAGAACTTTCTCAAACCGTGGGGCAGTTGCTTGAGGGTACTATTAAGTCTCAAGCAACCAGAAACTACAGTTATCTGGCACCTACAGATCCCTGTGGGTGCTGGATAACTTGAGCTTTATATTATATATGCATTTTGTTTATTGTTATATCCAAATCATATGCAATAACAAACTTCATTTTATTAAAGGCACTTGAACAGATTTGCACTGCCCAAAGCAGAAACATATATTCAGTATCACTACATTACAAAATACCCAATATTGTCAGCATAGGTAACACTGACATTCATCCAGAAAAAAATTGCATATATGGATTCTGGGTCAGCATGCAAATCAATGGTACAGAGGTAGATAAGGAGTAAGTTATACATACATTTAAAGTAAACCTGTGCCAAGTGAAACATGCAAGCTCCCCATAAAAAATACTCACTGCTTGGCTATCATGCTTATCAAATGGCTTTAAAACCAAATCACTAAGCCAGAATGAGCATGCAGATCAGATGCTCAGACTTCATTTGCGTGACAATTGTTTCAGGTCAGTAACCCAATGTACTGAAGAGGCAGACTTGCATTTTTAGGAGCAACACTGGAGAATTAAAAAGGTGGCCAGAGGCTGCTAGCATTGTTTATCACAGATAGGAAAATGCCACCCTAAAATAATTTTTAATCTCTCTAGTCGATTGTGTGCTATCAGCCAGCAGATGGTGACGCTACCTACCTAGTCTCAACAGTAAATGCATGTCTGTTTTTTAAAATGTCTGATTTGCAGCTTCCTGAAAGCGATGTACTACAAATGGTGTAATTGTCTAGAGGTTAATTGCAAGCTACCTTGATGTGGTTTAGATCTAAATCACAGTCAAATGGCAGTTTATTCATGTTGAGAATACTGCACATTACAGGAAAAATATTGTGCGTATTAAGGGGAAAAAGAGGCAAGGGAGCAACAAAGAGATTCTTACCCTGCAAACAAAGCACTCTGGGTGCCACAGCGTGTTCAGAGCAGATATATAATTCTCCAAGATGGCATGGGTGCATCCACCACACTTGGGGGCAAACATGTCAAAGTAATCCTTACGACAATAGGCCTTACCATCCCTCTCATGGAAACCTGTAAAATGGAGAGGCGTTAGAATGCAATAACAAGTACCATTTTAAAGGATACACCCACAAAATGCATTGCAACAGAGTTTTGACATTGCTTTTTTTTTTTTGTGCAAAACACTCCTGAATTATGGTATATTACCTTCTGGGCCAAAAAATGCTCCACACTGTGCACAGAAGAAATGTTCAGGATGCCAAGTTCTGTCTAAAGCGGTCACAACTTTCTGTTGAGTAAAGATGAAAACACACAAGCTAAATATCAAAAATAGGTTAAAAAAAAACAACCAAAAAAAACACTATGTCCTGCTGCAAACAAAAAGTACTTACATCCAGTATAGGCCCATTACAGTAAAAACAGCGAGGGGAGAATAGATTGTGATAGTCTTTTTCACAGTAAGGCTGACCATCTCGCTCAAAGAAGTTGCGTGATCCAATTTCCTCTTGGCAGTGTGTGCATACGAAGTGTTCAGGATGCCAGGTCCTTCCCATAGCTGTGACAACCTGAAAAAAAAAAAAAAAAAAAAAAAGATAAATAAATAAGCATTGGCTGAAGGTCCAGGGAGGATTTTTTCCTCCCAAGCATCAATAAACTTTACTCACCTGACCAGCAATTGGCTTCTTGCAAGCTCCACAAACACCCTTAGCCACGGTGGCCACTCCCAGCTTGTTAAGATCAGACTGCAGGCTACCCAGCATGTTGTCCAGCTGACTGCCTGGCTTTGGGGCACTGGAAGGAGGAGAGCTATTCACAGACTTTCCTTGAGCCATGAACTGCAAGACAAAAAATAAAAACAATTCTCAGTTACAGAATTCCTCAGTTCCTCTTATGCACCTCCAATTTAAATTGGATGGACAGGTTAACATTTCAAGTGCATCACACAAATATATACCAAAGATGACTCATTAGCAGCTGCAAGGAAACTAGAGGAAGGATTACGATAGTCATAACCATGTATGAAATCTTCATCTTCCTGTGAAATCCACATTTGGGGAGGCGTAAGGAAAGGAACCGATGACTAAAGACCAATACAAGAAAAAAAAATGACTACTAAGCCAGTGCACAAGATGCTGCCCAGCATGCAAATTGACACACTGATTAAACACATGCACTCTTGACCTGCTAAAACCCTTAAGGCTGACATGCTAACAAGTTTGCAACAAATGTATTTTCCAAACTGGTTTGTAAAACGGTACTATGCCAATACTCTAAAAAGTCAAAGACCACACACATACAAAGTAAAATAACGTGCCTTGTTTGGAAGAGAATGGTTCAGAGGAGGATGTGAAGGAAAAGCTGCCACATCCGTGGAAGCAAAAGGAGGGATCATCTGAAAGAAGGTTCAAACTGGTCTTATTGTAAAAGCCAAAATTATCTAACTTCTACAAACAACACTAAAAAAACATGGACCAAAATTTCCCAAGCATGACCCACATTCATCAGGACATCTTACAAATGTCTGTAAATCCTTCCAACCACCAGATGACCACAATCAACATACAACGTTCTGTACACACCACAATCACCTACTGTTAACATTCAAACACATTTTGCGACTTGTGTAAACCTATAAATTCACAGACAGCGTTTAACAAATTCATGCCTGAATAGGTGGAAAGAGGGGATGATCATCCGTCTGGCAGGCAACAGAAATGCAGGACTTAGGACCAGGCAGGGTCCTTGAGGGAGCCGAGGTGAAGATCCATGGGGCAGGAGGCTCTTCCCGATAGCAAATTTGGTGTACTTCCTGCAACGGTACTACTCTAGATAAATCCTGATAATCATCACTATATCTTTTCCAAGACGGTGGTGGTTGAGGAGGTAGCGTACGCAAGGCAGAGGGTGGTTGAGGAGGTAGCGTATTCAAGGCAGAGGGTGGTTGAGGAGGTAGTGTACTCAAGGCAGTAGGATGCAAGGGAGGGAGAGTGGGGGGTAAAGGAGGTGCAGGAGGAGGAAGAAAAGAGGGTAATGAAGTAAAATTAGCAGAGGAAGAAGTAACTGGAGTAGGCGGAGGAGGATGAGCTGGTGATGTAGATTTAGACACAAGTCTGGTAGTCTGCAGTGTGCCAGATGGAGAAGTAGTGACAGATAATGTCTTTCTCATGAGCTGTGGAGAATCCGGGGGTATGATTATCTAAACAGAAAACAATGGGATAATTTAAGACAAGAAAGGCATATATAGGGAACATAATGTGTGCAATTTAAATGAGGGTGCTAATGCCGCAAGCACTGCCCATGAACATTTGCATTAGGTACTATATGCATATGTCTGGCAAATGCAACTGTCCTACCACAAGCAATCAATCCATTCCAAAACATACTGTAGGAAATGCAGCCTTCTGAGTCAGTGCCCAGTGGAGTATCAGATAATGTCACAGTCTGGTCGAGATGAATTATTGTCCTCTATATGGGCATATTCCAAACATATAGGGAAGTTGTTTGTCGGTACACTTGGTTTGTCATGAGAAATTTCAAAACAGTTAACCACAAAGGTTAAAAGAGGAACGGTTGCACTTCTATGTGCTTATAACAATTATTCATGCTGATTAAAAGGTGCCTTACACATAATAATGAAAATTGTTGTTCATTTACTTTAAAAAAAGGGGACAGACAAAAAAAAAAATTGCTGGCAGGCAAACATTTAAAAAAGTGACAATTTAGTGACTTTTAAATGGTTCCAAATCTTCAATGAGTCCATGCAAAGCGTTCTTTAGACAGACACCTACATTCGATGTACCTTCTCAATTCTTTGCTCTGATGTTCGCACATTTTTAGCAGGCTGCGATGTGATAATTACTCCCTCTGTCAGCCAATTATCTTCTGGGCTCTTGTAAGTCTCCTGCTTGTCTATGCCAAACCGTCCGTGCAGCTCTTCAATCAGTCGGTCTTGTGAAGGACTCTTGTTATATATAGCCGGTCCAAATTTCCTCCGGGGAGAAAGGTCCCGAGACATTGGATGCACATTAGGCGACTCTTTTGTCCTTTTGATCACAGACTTTATCTGAACATCAAATACAATGTTACTGGACAGCAGCACACATTGTGCCTAATAAATTGCCCAAGTTTAGTCTCCAGGCTCACACTACACTCAATGAGCGGTACAAAATGTCCTAATTAGACATTGTTGTTATGCAAAACTACAAACACTTCAAGACGTGTTAGAAGTCATCAGCTTGCTCAAATACTAACTGAGCTGAGTCCACATGCACCTATAGAAAAGACACTCCAGACATGCACAATATGCCATGCAGAGAACACTCCATGCTTGCCTGACGTGAGGCTGAGATTCGTTCCCGTGCTGAAGTCTCTGGTAATGTAACTTGAGAAGATTCCTGAATCCAAGAAGGGTCCATGGGTCCTGAATCTGACTGAAACCCAAATGTTGTATGCTGTTGAACAACTCCATTGGAAACAACGCTACCATCAAGCTCATCAGGCGACTGTGTAAGAAAGTAGTCATTCCCTAGTTCAGTACCTGCACTCTCCCAAAAGTCTTCTTTTTTTTCTGGGGTTAAATTTTGTGGACATTGTAGCGGTGATGAATTTTCTCTATGAACATTTACTTGTTCTTGTGATCTTATAACTTTATACCTGTCTGCTCCAAGAATGGGATCAGTAAATCCATTAGACTGAGCAGCATCTATTGATTTTGCACTTTCTTCATAAAGAACATCAAACTCCTTGATTTGAGGCTTTTTGAAAAAGCTTGGCAGGTAAATGTCTGTTCGCAGACTGTAAGCACTGAGAGGGCTGATCACTGGCTCCTTGCTGGCATTATCCATCTCTAAACCATGGTTTTGCAGGGTAGTTACTTTCCTGGTAGAAGATGATGCAACTGAGCCTTCCTCCTCATCAATGTGCAATAGCACACTGGGACTGCTAGGTGTTAAAGCTTCAGACCCACACTCTGGTTTTGTGTGCAATGGAGTTGGTGGAGGACTACAACACAGCTCAGAAATGGGCTCAGAAACAGCATGACATGTCTGCATTAGAAGTAGAAAGGGGGAAAAAAAGCCAAACAAAAGCAGTTATAGGAAAAGAAAATGGCAGTGTAACAATGTATTAAAAACTATGTTACCATCTGCCTAGTAGAAATTGCTCAGGTGTACAGAGATTAGAAGGTTTTATTCACACAACTAGAAACACACCATATTTCACAGAGTATAGGCAGTGTGAATTGAGCTACAGGTGTGTGAGGGAACATAATTCTCACAGTAAAGCTGGTAATACACTTGAACAATCTGATTGGATGCCGGCATTGTTCAGGTATTTTGAAAGCCAGCGGGGCCGACTAGCAAGATACTGAAGATTGGCCCAGCGGGAGATTCCTCCATCCACACAGTTTAGCGTAGATGGAGGAATCTGTTGCACTTTTTCCATCGGACCATAGAAAATCTGCAGAAAACCTGTGTGTGTGGCCAGCTTAAGAAACTTTTTGCAGGGCATGTTCAATAGAGAAAATGAAGTGGCTGGAGGGGAGATTACATTATTAGAACTTTCTCAAAAGAAAGAAACTGAATTGATTTGAAAAATAAGGCCTTTGCAAGTTAATTTCCAGGCAAATATTGTGTCCTTTTTACAACAGCTACAGCAAAAGATTAGAGGAGGGTGCTTTGCTGTAGGAAATCCCTGACAGGATCCCAAAGCTTTATATTCAGGGACATACCTTAATTGTTATACAAGAAATTAGTAGTAGCCTTTATGCTATTTTAAGATATTGCTATTTATAGAATAAATCCAGGTAATGCCCTATTTTTTTTTAGCATTAACGTGCTAGGAAAGGTGTGAATGGGCTCATAAGGATTGGTACAGTTATATTTAAAAATATGTATAGAAAAGAAAGTGCATGTACAGTCACATTAAAATGACTGGCAAGATGTACCGAAAAAAAAAACTACTGTTCGGGGGAAAAAAAAGGGCTAAAATAGAGGGGAATTAAAGGAGGTATTTGACTTATCAATGATAGGAAATGCTGGGGGTCAATTAACCCCTAAAGGAAGGTGAAGCACCAAACCTGGGTTGTGATGTAGGGATCATGCTATACAATATGCTGGTTTGTAAGTACAATAGACTGACATATTTTGCCAAGTGTAAACTGGTCTGCACTACTAACTTGCCGTCTGCTTGCAGCCCTGTTGCAACCTGAACATGTGGGACAAAACACATACCACCACCAACCAGTAATCCTACAAGCCAAACACTGGTTTGCAATGGATGGTGTTAAACAGCAGGTAGTAAGACTGTTTTTTTTTTGCTTATCTGAGGGTCATCAAACTTCTTACTGTATTACACATTTGTTGTGCAGGGTATCTGAAAAATCTTTTTGCTGGTCAAATATTTGCTAAGGAAAAATAGTTATGAAATCATTTGGGTGTTAATGTGACAGCTCTCCAAACTCATCTTAGAGATAGCACAAAATATAATGTAGAAATACAAGCAGATTTCAGCTTACTAAAACCCCAAATGCCTGTTTGAGATCCAAGTTGTTCTGTTTACATTCAGGACACAGAAGCACATGCAAAAATGTAGGATCTGTGGAAAAGTTATTCCCGTACAAATTCACCATTGCTAAACCGTATAGGATCTAGGAACTAAAAGCACTAAAAACTTTTAAATGTGTCTAAAACCAGGACTGATTTGGGAACTATGCTGCTCCAAGCTGGGTACGCGGGCCTTGTCCCACACGCCAAAAACAGTCGTAGGTTAATTGGCCATTGTCTAAATTGGACCTAGTATGTGTGTGCTGGTCTTAAAAACCCACCCCTCCCACACA